ATTTGACAACTGCCTTGCATCATCTTCTTCTGGACACATCTGGTTCCCATCCCATGGGGAGAAAGCTAGTTTATTTATTTATTAATTTTTCCATTTATATCCTGCCTTTTTCCTGCAAAGGGCTCAAGGCAGCTTACATCTCCTCCTCCATCTTATCCCCACAACAACAATCCTGTGAGGAAGGTTGGGCTGAGAGTCTGTGACTGGCCCAAAGTCACCCAGTTGGCTCCATGGCTGAGCGGGGACTAGAACCCAGATCATCTGAGTCCCAGTCCCATGCTCTTAACCACTATACCACACTGGCTCTCCATAGATGGTCCAATGTATCGATGGCCCAATGTTACCGCTGCCACCAGGAATCACCTTAGGGGGAAACTTGGAGTCAGTCTTGTTGCCTGTAATGTCTTGAGCATTGGTGAAGCAAGACCAGCTGTCTCCATTTGGTGTTCTAGGGAGTTGCCTGCTTGCAAGACATAACTCACCTCTAATTGATGAGGGTCTCATTAGTAAGGTCTTCAGGGAGTCACTAATGAACTCTGCTTCTGCAGCAAGTGCCTCTTGATTGCCAACAATGGGGGAGGAAGGGGAGGGAGACCTAGGGGAATTGGGTAGGCTGTATTTGGACAGGACAAGGATGAATGCATACTCAAGTGAGGATCCCTTTGCTTTTGATATCATTATTTATAACTGCATTCTTAGGAGCCAAATTACAAAACATACTGTTTTGTTTTCATGGTGGCACATAAGAAATCATGTAATGGGGCACTGAGGCTGAGAATTGACCTCCCAAGGCCTCCCAGTTAAATCCACACCTAAGTCTGGGATTTGGATGGACACCTGCACACACAAAATATGTCTATAATTTCAGCCCTGGACAGCCCTGGTTCTCATTTGCTTCCACATTTTCCCTGTCTCCTGGTTACAAAGTAGGCACTGTTCAAAGATGTTCTCTAGATTTGTGTAATAGGTAGCTATATTGCTTGCATGGGCACCAAAGATTGCCTCCAACTAGACTGGAAAGGAGTATGTGGTCTGTCTGGTTGTTGTTGGTTGTCATTTGCTAGGAACACCCCAACCCTTTTGTCTCACCTGTATTGTTTTCAAGGCCAGCTGGGTTACCGCCACTCTGCCCTCATCCTTCTTTCCTTAAGTCACTGCTTCTACTAAAGGCATTTTTTGCCTTCAACTTTATGTCTCCCTGCCCCCCGCCCCATTCCCGATTCTTTCCAAGAGTGCCTGTGGGAGCAAAAAAAGTTCCCTTTCTACCCCACACCCATACTGCTCACCTCACTGCTTCTCTTCTAAGTCTGGTCCCTTTCTCAATGGAATTGCTGCAGTCCCATTTGTCAACCAGCAAGCTTCAGATGAAAGCCTGCTGCCAGTCCGTTAATATTCTGCTTAATGAGCTGACAAGGCAGATCCTCTGTGGTTGCAGAGTCCAGAATAATAATTAAATTTGCTTTAGGCTTGCGTTTGCCCTGACTGTCTTGGACTACAGGTCATGAATGGCTGTATGTGGGAGTGGGCTTGTGAATATACCCCACCTCCCCACCTGGACTCATTCAGGTGGCTTAGCAGGCTGTTCATCTCTGATTATCCCTGCAGAGCAATACAGCCACTGGAGGGGGTGGGGGAAGAAAATTATTAAAGAAAAAAACCCTTGTAGATAAGTGCATTTATTGCACAATTTGCTAACCTTTTTTGAAATACTAATGCTGCAATAATGCCCTGCTGAGCCCTCTTCCTCAAACAGCCAAACACTATTTCCCACAATACCCTCTGCTGGCAGTGGAAGGTCTGCTTATGGAGTTCTCTGATTGGTGATGTAGCCATGCATTGGGGAGGAAGGTGAAGAGCCTGGTCATTACTATATTGTTCTGCCCTGATACTCAGAGGGTTCATTTTGAAACTGGGAAGGGGAGAGGGGCAAGACTGTGTCTGGTCTTTTTAGCTGCAGGGGGAAAATATTGAATCCATGTAGTTAGTATGCTTCCAAACAAAAGAAGCTCTGAATGGCACTTTGGGGAGACAGGACATATTTATGCTACACCAGTTCACTTGAGTCCTCATTCAATACCTAACCACCTGTTTTAAAATGCTGCCCCCCCCCCAATTAACTAGAATATTCTCCCTCAAGTATATTTTATACAAATGTTCACTGTTCTCACTTACATTTAGTCATTCTGATTTGGAACTTACCTCTCCCCTCTTTTTGTATCCCCAACCCAAGAAAATACATTTAAGAAAAATGTGTGCCAATATTTGCAGAACGTATTCCACTGCAAGCTTGCTGCCTACTAAGTTTGGGATTTGGGAGGGCCAAAAGCCTCCTCCTTACTCCTGAATCCATAGTTCTACTTTTAAACAGCCTCTCCTGGAGAACTCCGGCACAAAGCTAGCTTGAAAATCCATAGCCATAGGTGCTAGATGGAAAGGTAGCTGCATGGTCTCTGGCTGGACCAGCTAAGGAACAAAGCCAAAGAAGCTCTTGTCTGGGGGCTTTTTCTGCTGTTGGCTCAGTGCAGCAGCAGCTGGTAGAAATCATTTTCCAGCCCCTTCCATAAGAGAGGCTGTTGCTGTTAAGAAATATGGGGTTTTATCATACTGTAGCATAGTTCCCCACCACCACCACTTCTGGCTGGGGCATGGAGTTGCTGAATACAAAGGAGCTGCCTTCTGCTCCATAGCAGAAGTTTAACTTTATGATTGCCTCAGCAGCAGTATGATCAGCATGGAAGCTGTAGAGGGCAGGGGATAGTGTATTCTTTGTGAGCTGCCCCGAGGCTTTGTTGCGATGGGGGTGGCATAGAAATGTTTTAGATAGATAGATAGATAGATAGATAGATAGATAGATAGATAGATAGATAGATCGTCTGTCCGTCCGTCCGTCCGTCCGTCCGTCCGTCCTGGGGCCTTCCTGCTGCAACAGCTTCTTCCTCCTTCACATCTATGCAATCTCTTTTGCTGGTTGGAGTGTGATGTGCTGTCTTTTCCTGGCAATGTTTTTAGATGTGCCCAGGTACATACTGGGAGGAAGTAGGCTGCAGCTGTTGCAGTTGCATGTGAGGCTTGAGAACTTGTTCCCCCAAAAGAAGGCTGCCAGTTGGGCTGGCAGGTGCCAAGTTCAAAAGGTTTGAGCAAATGCTGCCTCCTAGCTTTGCTCATACTACAGTGTGCTTCAAGCAAAGGTGCCAGCTTTGCTTATGCCACAATAAAGAGGGGGGCAATGCAGCTGCCGCCTACTCTTCCTCCCGTTATGTCATCAGAGCAGGCAGAGTTTAAAGAATCTGCCTCCTTCCCTCTGCTGAAATTTGCCTGACTTCATGCTGTCCATTTGAAGGGGAGATGGAAATAGCAGCAGGTGGCTGCAAACTAGGCCAGTCCCCATTACTGTCTTTCTGCGCCACCAAAGCAGCTGGCTGGCTCTAGATTTTTAAACAAGTATTTGCTTACACATGCACACGCACACACCCTGGCTTCAGTTGGCCACTTGTGTCTGTCAGGCTTCCTGCTTGCCAAGAGCACTAATTAAGTTTCCAGCAGGTAGCCCCAGAGCAAATGCAAGCAAGGGCCGCGTGTGACCAGTTGGGTCAATGGGTCTGGGTGGATGGCTGAGGCAGAGGGGGAGAGTGGTTTGGTTTGGCAGCACCATGCCAAACAGCACTGCAGCAGAAGTCAGATTTGAGGCCTCCCTTGTCATGTGCCCCTTTAAACTATCCTCATGTTTTGTTTTGTTTTGTTTTGTTTTGTTTTGTTTTGTTTTGTTTTGTTTTGTTTTTGAGGAAGCTCATTCCAGTTACCCAAACTGCAAGTGGAATAGCCATCAGAAAAACCATTTATGTTTCTTGTTCCCTCTGGCTGAGTGGCAGGTTGGTGACTCCTTAACAAAGCACTAATTAAATCAAGCAGCTTTGTACTTCATCTCGGCACAATATAATTAATGCTGTAGCTTTGACTGGGCTCATACACAACTCCTAGTTGAGGATGTTACAGACAAACAACTGGGAGTGCTTTTTACAAGCACTGCTTGTTTGTACTGCTAGAGGGTGCTGTACAGTAGAGAGCATACAGAGAAATATTGTGTAGAGAGCCTGTGGGGCTAGTATAGTTTGGAAGGAGTGTGGTGTCCTATTTCCATTCCCTTATCACCCCTGTGATCTGAGGACATGAACAGTCCTGGCCTGGAATCAATCAGTACTTTGTTGTTTTAAGTAATATACTCCTCAGCCAACAGCTTTCAGAAAAAAGAAGACAGCCTAAAAGACACAATAGAAAGGAAAAGGAAATCAGGGGGAAGAGGAAAATATTAGGTTGGCTGTCAGCAGCATGGCCCTGCTTCCCCTGCCATCTCCTGAGGCTGCAGGGAGGCAGAGAGAAAAGGTAAATTCATTTTTTGGTACAGCATATGCCTTTCTGAGGAAAGTGCAGGCTCTGCATGTCAAGGAAGTGCGGCTTCTGTGCTCTACTTTGTCATCTCTCTCTCTCTTTCTGGAGAACTGTGTTCCCACTCATTTGCGTATACTTGTAATTCAACTACTTCCAGAGAACTAGTCAAAGTATCCTTCTCCAAAGAAACACAAATTCCACAGCACCTCCTTTCCCTATCCACCAGGAGAAACAACCTGGTTCAAGCTCACATGTAGAGATTTGAGCAAGTGACTGCTGGAGGAGCAGATTTGCATTCATTTGCATCAGACTGAAGCATCAAACATTGCTTTTTGTGATGCAAAATTTGCTGCTGCTGCTGCTTTTTTTCTTATTTGGTGCCCTAGCCCATATTTCCAGCTGGTCCAGATAAACTGTGCCTGCACCTAGCCCAGCTCCATACACATTTCTCATCTTGCAACTGATAGATGCCAATCCTTGCTGCTGTTCACACCAAGAGCCAGGGCCCCTGAATATCCACAAGCCCATTGCTTACATTTCTGGGGCAGTCCTGGCCATTCCTCAGTTGGTCACTCAGGTTTTTGTCTGTCTGTTCTTCTCTCTCTCCTTTGCAGGATGCGAGAGTGGGCTCGTCGGGAAGCTGAGCGGCTAATAAAAGAGCGGGAGGCACAGGGGCTGCCCCTCATTGACTCCAATTATTTTGACCCCAGCAAGATTGTGCTGCCCCCAGAAGAAGAAGAATGAGCACCTGATATCTGCCTGTATGCTGTGAATAAATCTCCGAGATCACCTCTTTCTCTCTTTCTCTGGGACTTGGAAGGGCAAAACCTCAGTAACCTGAAAGGGTTCGGGGGCAGTGGGGGCACTGGGCCACTCCTTTACTGTTTCCTGCTACAAGCAACCCACCTCCTGTGCTTTCGCAAGAGCTGCACGTTTATGGTCTTGGGGTGACAGGACAGTCACCACTGGGTTGCTAGCAGTTGCTTTGCACAGCCAGGAGGCAACCTGGGTTGCTGAGGACAAGAGTCCTGAGATGAGAGGGGAGGGGAAACAGTTTGGTTGGGACCTGTCTATCTTTTGAGTGGGGGAAGGGAGATGGGAGGCTTGAGTTTCTGCCAGGCCTTTCCTGAGTCCTGTCAATGATGTAAAAGATTTTGGCAGCGCCTTCCACTCCTGTCCAAAACTAGGCCCTGAGCAGATGGTATTGCCTGGTTCCTTGCAGTGGAGTGCTATATTTATCTTTGTGTCGCTGCCCATCCTTACATTGTATAAGCAACTTCCTTCCATCTGCAGTGCTTAAGCTGTCCACTGAGTCCAGAACTGACATATTTTGGCAGCAAGACTGGAATGGAGCCCTCTAGGTCCCAGTATGCATCTGCCTCATGTGGGGAGAGGGTTCCTCTGATAGGTACCAAAACCCTTTTAGTGTCTGCAATTGGTAGTTATAGCCCTTTTGCCATGTATACAATCAGTAACTGGTAGCTCTCCTATGTTAATGTTTCTGGCATTGCCCTTGTGTCTTTCACAGCCTGGAAAGAGGCAGAAACCCAACATAACAAGCTCTCCTGTTACTGTGCCTCCAAACTGTGGAGGAGCTGTGCCTGTTGGATTTCTGTCTGTTGCACACAGAGACTCTGCTCAGTATGGGGAGGGATAGGCAAAACTACCAGCTCCTGCTAATCGCAGAAGATTAAATGATTTCTGCACACAGAGTTGAGAAATGGCCCTAAGAAATTTACCTATGATCTCATCTGTGTTCTAAAAATTGAGGGCACTGTGGTTTCAGCCCTGAATTGCGCTTCCATCAGTTCTATTTTTAAGGTATGCCTTGAGGAAGGAACCCCACTTTTCCCATTATTCACGTGATGTGTTGCTTTTTCTTTCCAGAACATAACAATAAAGCTACAGTGACATTCGCTCCCTCCCTCACTGAGTGCTGGGTGCTAGTAATAATAGCATGGAAATGGATGGCCTTGAGAAGCTCGAGGCTTGCTGCACAGTAGCTTCCATGTGGTGGGAAACAAGGGGAGGGATGTTGCACTATAACAGCATTTTGTTTTGCATACCTAGAATATGGCAACCTGTACAAGTGGTCTGAGAAGACGAGGGGCATTTGCCACTAGTTTTGCTCCTAAAAAAGGATGCCTGACATTTGGGTGGGCAGCAGCAAGTCTATGTTAAATTGCCATCGGAAGACATGGCAGTAGATCTTGCCATTTCTCCAGAGTTTCTCTGGGGGCAGGGAGTGGTGCTTTCTGTTTTCTGATTGCTGGCTATTTCCCTTGATTTAGTGGCTGCCTTGCATTTCTATCTATCCACACACATGTTTTCTGCTTCTCAGTAAGGCAGTAAAGCAGAGGGGAAACTGCAGTGGTATAATTCTCACCAGCTGTTCTTCCACTGTTCACAGGGGTGAAGTATTTCACTGCTGTGATTGAAAAGATGTGTGAATGACTGTCTGAAGGAGTAAACCATGGGAAATGGAAGGGAGTATTGCTTGGTGGTTACAGAAAGAAGTCCTCTATCTGCCCTCTGCCCCCTTCAGTTCTGCACCCCTGCCTCTGTAAAACAAGATAGTCTAGAAAACAGGTTGGAGAACTTGTGCCCTCTAATTCTGTTTCATTCTAATTCAGATCATTCCACACTAGTCACCATGCTGCCTGAGGCTGATGGGAATTTGAGTCCAACAACCTCTGGAGGGACATAGTTCCCCCACCATTTTCTAGAATTTTGCATCCCTACTTTCATCTTCCCAGATGTCTTCTGCACCCTGTCTAAGACTCCCTTTATCGGAGGCACAGACATAACCAGCTTCAGGATTTGAAGTGCTTCCACAAAATAGACTGCTGGATGGGGACACCATCAGCCCATCAAAGCCAACTGCAAGCTGGTTCAAGCAAGTGACTTAAGCCCCATCATGTCAGGTTTCAGGGAGGGGAGCATACGTCTTCTACTTCTTCCTGGTGCAACAGCCAAACAACTTCACCATTTTCCAGACAGTTCTTACTTTTAGTTATGGAGTGCCAGTTAAGATTTAGATGAAAGCAAAGACATAGTGATGTTTGCCTTAAGAGATTCTGTCTGGCTTTCATCATATACCTTGGAGTTCTGTGGGGTTTCTTGCAGGATATTTTCTCCTCCTGACGTTTGGGCACTCTACCTTTTGCACATTCCCTTTCTGGCCTCTGGGCTTTCCTGGCTCCTATAGAGTTAACATTCTCTCTTTCTTGTGTGTGCGCACATGCACAGGGCTTTCTTTCTTCTCACAGCCTGCCACACAGAGCTTTGTTCAAGTGCCTCTTGCTCCCAATAATACCATGCATGGCCAGAGCCTTCTTTGAGGTGTGCATCTCAAATGGTTTATAGTGGCAATGAGAAGTCATTATCCTGTCAGAGAGGTGTGGAGGGGAAAGCAGACTCCGAGAGCAGATGTGAGTCACCCTCATGCATGGGCTCACACACACTGCAAGTGGGCAATGGAGATGATGCTGGCAAAGTACTCTGGGATGCCTGCCTTCCAGTCATACCCCCCATACCCCTATTTCCCTCCGTAAGCAAAGCTTATAACTTTTGATTTCGCTTCCCCTACATTGAAATCCCTTTGCCTCCTCTCTGAGCCATGACTGGAAGGCAGAAAGGCGACCTGGCTCCTTGCCTCCTTTGCTCCTCATCAGTGCTCTGCAAAGTCTCTCTGGGAATAGCAGTTCCTAAATCAGGCACAGCTGTTCCCATTCAGCAAATGGTGCTAATCTTCATTCACAGCCAAGGCAGAGCTGTGATTGCATCTTGCAAGTGTGTGCCCAGGCATTCTGGAAGGCTGTTCTCCTGCTAGTCCCACCCCAGAGGTGGCTGCATCCTTTCCTGTGTGTTGCAGACAAGACAGATGGAGATTGCTGGCTGAAATGAGGAATGCAGGTGGGGAAGGGGAAGGGAGGCAACTTCTTTTGTATGGCCTGCTGTGCATTGTGTGTTGGCCACTCTGGGGAGGGTCTGGGGCAGGGATTAGAAAGCTCTAAGCTGTTGCTGGTGAAGTAAAGCCAAGTGAGAAGCTGACCTGAGGGAGGGGCATAGGAGTACGGAGCGTGGTGCTCAAAGCCCCTTAGGAGATTAAACCAATATTAATATTTTTGAAGAAGGCCTGATTCTTTGTTGATATTGCTGTAGAAAATATACACAGCACACTATTACAATCACATCTATCCTGCCCTTCCTCAAGAAGCATACAAAGTTCTCCCACTACCATCTGTGTTTTTCTTCCAGCAGCCTTGTGGAGTAGGATAGGATGATAGAAAGTGACTGGTCCAAAGCCACTCAGTGAGCCAAGCAGGGGATTGAACCTGGCCCTCTCCAGTCCTAGCCTGATACTCTGAGCATCAGAGGTGAGAGAGTGAGGGAGGTCTTGAAGCCTTGTTAGAAGCAATGGAATAGGAATGAACAGAGGGTGCGTGTGCTGCCTGCAATCGATAGAATGGCTTGTGGTACAAAGGGCTGGGGGGTGGTATTGGGAAGTTGGATAGTGGTGTAATTCAGCAGAGGTTTTTGATGGGGGAGTGGGGAAAAAGACCTGGGAGTGGGGAGGTAGGGTGACCTTAAGAGGAAGACAGTATGTGTACCCACCCAAGGTATTTATTTCCTCCTGCAGTCTTTTCTGGAGTGGACAGTCTAGAACAAATACGGTGCAGAGGTTTCCCTTTGGGTAATTTTATTTATTTATTTAAAACATTTTTATGCCGTCCCCATCACAACAAAGCCTCGGGGCGGCTCACAAGAAGAACAAAATATACAAATATAACAAATTGTACAATAAAAATATTAAAACCCAGTGCATCTGGGCTTAAAAGATTTAAAATCCTATAAATTCTCATCTTTCTCTCAGTTGCACCCATCTCACAGTAGTGAGGATAAAGTGGTGTGGGGCGGGGGGGACCAGGTATGCTGCTGCTTTGGTGAGAAGGCAGCATATAAAAGTGCAATAAATTTGATTTCAAACATGCAGCTTCTTGTCCCAGTTCTGGACAGGGTTGCCAACTGACCAGAGAACCAATGGCTTTCTGCCCTTAGGCCACTGACAAGCTGGTTCATAGGCACACATAATCAGCAGGTGAAATTTTTCAGGGTACTGACACAACCATTATCACATACTCTCTGTTAGTGCATGAAGCAGCTATGAAAGGCACAATACAATGCACTGACTGGTTGAAAACATGGTAACCCTGAGCCGTGTATGTGTGTGTGCATGCACGTCTGTGTGTGATTACTGTCCCCATCAGATGGTTATATTATCTGTGAGAAATGCCCTTGAGCCCTAGCCTTCAAGCCCTGACAATTCACTAATGAAGTGATGCCTCCAGGAATGTCACACTTTCCAAGACTTGGGTCCAATCTGTTGCATTCCCAGGTAGAGCTTGAGGACCCTGTGTGAAATTCAAGAGAGCCTCTACTGGTGTAGGAAATTTAGAGTTCAGTGGCCCATGATCCAGGCTGACCTCCTCTGGCACTACTCAGCAAGTAGAATTTCACCATTGATGCTTTCCACAATACTGTACCTCTTTGTTGGGAAACACTCAACCTGTTGCCTATCATGCTGTGTTAAGGTGATGGGAATTCTGTCAGTGGAAATCCCTGACCAGAATTGCAGGTCACATTGCAGGTCTTGCCAAGTTAGGTGGAACTTTGGGGCAGTTTATGTGTGAAGCAATGGAGCAGATAAGTGTGGCTGTCCATATTTTGTTGGACTTCAGTTCCCATCACCCTTAGCCAGTCTAACCAAGTGTGAGGGCTAGGAGTTG